TGTGACACAGACCTCATCACAATCTGAAGAAATATGTGATGCCAATATCGTCACAATTAAAAAGACATCTTATGTATACATCGTCACATACTACAAAATAATGCGACATGTGCATCGTCACACATTAAAAAATATGTGATGCGCACGTCATCACACACTACATAAATATATGACACCTAAAGGGTCACGTATTGTATAGGAAGGAGCTTTTTATACCAAGTTTAGGAGAGGAATTACTCCTCACAGATGCAGCTAAACCGTGACCCAAATCATGCATCACTAATAGCTGTAGGAAGCTACTAACGGATAGCCACATAATCCGACGTATAGTGACGCAGTATGTGTCACACATATCGGGTATATGTGACGAAGAGAGAAAGCGTCACGTGGGAGAATCGGTGACGGGGTATAGGTGACGAAAGTTGTGACGCTAAAATTGCGTCACATATACTCAACTGTGACGAAATTCCATGTTTCAGTGACGACTACCCCTCTTCACAAAAGGCATGTTTTCTTGTAGTAAGTTTTTCTCAATTTTTTCTTCTTGGTCTTTATTGGTTTTGTAAATAATAAATGTTTGTTGAATAGACTTAGAAAATGGAGAGATTATCTGTTGAAATTAATTGTGCTTTGCTTTTATTTGGTTTTTTCCACCACCATTATGAACAGACTCAAAAAATGGAGAGATTGCTGAGGGAATTAGGAGAACAAGTGCTAAAGTGACAATTTTGTCAAAATATTGCAAAATGTTTTAAGTGAGTTTCATTTCATGGTTAGAATTTCATATTGTACTGATTCTTATGCTTATGCAGTCACTCCGCCGGTCGTGCTGGGAAACCAATTGTGAAATGGACTAAGGTTGTACATTTCATTCACTCTCTCTTCCTTTACTTTTATTGTAGTATAATACCATGATATTCTTGTTACTATTGTTACCATAAGGTGTCCTTGATTAATCATTTTTAGAGCCCTACTCTATTGCAATTGTCTTAGGTGCAAAGTTGGTTGCAGAATAGAGTGCTTCACCCTTCGAATAAGGCACTCAGAAGTTCTGAAGTACCAAAAGGTGCTTCTCATAACCTCTTGTTGCTTTTATGTCTAGGTTGTAGTAATATGTAAGCTTCTAAGGCTTTTTGCAAACTGGCTACATCTAATTATTGTATGGTGAGCTCATTTATTATAGCCAAAATAGAAAAATAGTGAACCACAAACTGACCGAGCTAGTTGAAGTTTTGAATTGTATTATTTACACTAGTTTATAAATTTTTCATTCTATTACCTGCTAGCCACTGAATGTCATATCTAATAAGTTATTTCAGGTTTGAACTGTTTCTGTTTCACATAAGTTTTCAGAAACGCCGCAAGTTTTAAAGAAGAAGTTGTGGTCAACAGAAGTGCACTGGCACAACCGTAAATTCGTTGAAGTTGAGTTCTCTCTCTCTCTCTCTCTCTCTCTCTCTCTCTCCGTCGTCACCTCAGCCACTACTCCGCCCCAATTGAGACCCAGCCGCCACAACCCTCGAACCCCCGAGCTTCCCCGCCGTCGCCGTTCATCCTTCCGTCGTTATTTGCTCGGTTTTCATCGAATCTTCGCCGGCGTTGTTCTCTCTCCTTCGAGCACCAAATCCGACAATTGAGGTATGGTTTCTGGACTATTTTTGATACTTTAGCTGATGGTTAGGTAGGATTTGATTGATCATTTGAATAGGGCAGTGGATTTGAAATCCTAGGTTTCAGCCGATTTTTGAATTGAAATTTCGGCCACTTCCGGCCATTTTTTGGGGTAGGTCCGAGAACAAAAGTGCCTCCAATTGATGTTTTTAACCTAGGGTAGGAACCTTGACCCTTAATGTTTTTTGGATTTTCCGGCTATTGTTTTCGCTTTGGGCACCCACGCGCTGCTGGCACGTGTGGTGGCACGTGGGATACTGTAGCATTGGGCATGGGGTCCTAGTGCAATCCCCTAGTTGTCACGAGCGCGTAGGTGTGTTCGGATTGGAATTTGGTTACCGTTTGAGTCTCGAATGGATTTTGCCTATTGTGCGGTTTCCAGGTTTGATATGTTCGGACCGTTGGATCGAACTCAAACTCACATATGTTGTATCTTGTATTTATAGGATCGTGTAGGATTCGACGGATCGTGGATCGGAGTCTCGGATACTCCGAAATCGCAAACCCTAGGCCAAACTATGCTTTTAATTAATTAGTTCAAATTCTTAATGACATTGTATGTGCTTAAGTATATATTCTTAAATTTGATTAATTTGTATGTGTATTAATGAAATTTTGCAGATGTCAGACTTGATTAAATGTCGTAGGGCGGTGACGACTACACCGAGTTCAGAGCCCCTGGCTCAGCCGGCATCAGCTGTCACTGCTCAGCACTGATGGACCAGGACCACGTGCTAGTTGGTCCCGGGGGATCCCAGGTGCCTGCATCATCAAATTCATCAATGGTGCAGCCTATTAGCGCGCTAAGCGGCGGCACCGTCCTGCCAGCACCACCGACACCACATCGACTGACGGTACTGGTTTCTCGGGGTCACAGCCAGGTATATATATCCTTCAACTGTAGTTCTTTTTTTTTTTTAATTTTTTTAATTGGGAATTTTATAGTTAAATTTGTTATTTATTTAACATTATTGTCATATCTCTTTGCAGCCAAGAAGAACACCTTAGGGCCGTGTCGGCAGCTGAAGACGACAAAGGTCACCCGGGTGACCAACAGTCGTATCAAGATCGGATAAGAAAAGCGTCGTCGGGCTGCACCGATGGCGGAGTTGCATAGCTCCTTGGCCCACGACATTGGCCACGTTGTTCGGACCCATTGCCCGATGCAATGGAAGTCTTGGAAGGTCATGCCTGACAAGACTAAGATGGAGATTCGCGGCCAGTTGTCGGTATGTATCCTACCTTTTAATTATTTTTCTTTCAAACTTTATATATTTCTATTACTTAATGTATGTAATTAATTTATTGCAGACGAACTACAACTTAGAGGACCTTGACGAGGAATCGTTGGCGTACGTCAATAGACTCTTCGCTGAGAGGTACAAGCAGTGGAAGAGCGACTTGCACCGCTATTTTCAGGCGTTTAATGATCCGCAAATCGCTCTTCAGGAAGGTTGCCCGAAAGAGCTTGAGGGGCAGGAAGATAGTTGGGCGTGGCTCAGCGCTCATTTTCAGGAGCCCGATTATGTGGTATTTTTTTAATAATATTTATTTAATTATTACATATTTCTTATTAATGTTTATTTAATTTTTTATATTTCATTATTATTTAATTTTTTATATTTCAACTAATACATTTTATTTTTTGTATAACAGAATAAAGCCCAAGTGAATAAAGGCAATAGGAAGAAGAAGACTCTTCTCCACCATTCCGGCTCCAGGCCCTTCTAATTTTTAATACGTCATTATTACTAATTTATTTTGTTCATACTAATATTTTTCTTCTCTTGTTCAATTTAAGGGGGGGGGTCGAAATTCCCAGATATCGACGTCTTTGGTGACGTTTATGTTCGACCTGGGAATGAGTTGGCCGAGTCCCTTCGTGTAAGTATT